CTTCTTTCCTTCCCTGCTGTGTAACCCTGAGCACTCTTCCCTAGCAGCCTGACCCAGTACGAAGATGTAGCTTTGGGGGGGAGAAGAGTGAATATTCTTTTGAGAATAGAGCGATTCTCAAGAGATTGAGTGTACGTGGTGGGAGCTCAGCTGTCAATCATGGAGGCTTTCAGTGTGGAGGACTTGACTGCAGACAGCCTTGCATGATGTCGCTTTTCATAAACCTACAAGCGATCGGCTTCCTTCCCTTAAGGTTAATGCCACTGATGATGCGAATCTCAGAAGTTGAAGTGTCTATGTCTGATTATGCACCCAGTTAACCAGAAACCGTTGTGTGAATCTCATAAGCAGATACATTTCCAGTTTCAGGATACATTCAGAAATGCTTAAATATCTTATGTGGCTCCAGGGGAGATAAACTGACTTAGTCTGGCTGCTAATTGGGACAGTGTGCTGAGTGTTTGGAGCTGGGGAAACAAGCTGAGTTTATTTCTGCAAAAGGCAAAGTCGTACGTGATCCTGTGCTCAGCGTGGACTCGAGCAGTCCCCAAAAGCGTTCTGGTTTGCTCTTTGCAAGTTCAGTTTAACTTCTGTTATGGGACAGTGCTCCCGTGCCTGCAAGACTGTGCTATGTGGCTTTTGGAAAACATTTGTTACAGTGCATCATAGTTGGAAGAAATTTTTTGTTTGTTTGTTTGTTTGTTTGTTTGTTTTAGTGGGTCCAGTGGTATATCTTACCTGGTACCGACCTGCACTGACAGGCTTGAAAGTGAGGGGATGCTTTTCGTTTGCTCCAGCACAGAAATTTTTCTATCTACAGATGCTATTAATTGTGCTCCTTTTTCCTGGTCATCCTTAATGTAGCTGTGTTATGGAAAGTTCTCCACGCTGGCTCCATGTCTTTCCTATTAGAACATTGCAGATGTGTCAAGGACGCACATGTTCCAAAAGAAGCTGAGAAAGAAGGAGGCTCCACCCTCCTGCGCCTGCCAAGTGGGCCCCATAGGTTCCTCATTCAGCACTCTGGCAGGCAAATGGTGTACTATCTCTTTAAAGCAGCTCTAGTTTTGTGCCTTGGCTTGGTCAATTTGTTATGGTTTAAAACTGTGGAGCCAGCTGTCTGCAATCTGATGTAATGTTGCCATGGAAACCAGAAATGAAACACTTAAGCATTCACCACAGAATTACTACATATAGCATTAGCCAAAGTAATTAAAAGTTGAGCCATATGGGCTTTCTGGTGGAAAAATCTGCAAGAGAAAGGCTGGAAATCAAATGTTTCTATTTACAGTAATGTAAATCCATTTTTCCACATCTTTTGGTGGAATACATTAATTGCCTTTTACGACTAAAGTTTAGAGGTGGGGAGTTTTATACAGATGATTTAGTTTTCACCTTCTCATTTAGACGATGATCAAATTAAAGTTTACTTTAGTCCTCTGACCTGGGGCAGGACAGAGAGGAGGAGAATACCGGGTCCTGTTACAACGTGCATAAACATACACTGTTATTTCTTCACTTCAGTTTATTTAAAACCTGTTTTCTAGTAGTTCTGTTTAATCTAGGAGTCTGTTTCTTGAAATCAACCATTCATTTTATATGTAATGCAGATTTACTTCATCTTTTACCAAAGTTCCTCCAGGTACAAAGATTTCATGCATAGTTATTTTTAAATTCTTACACCCTCATCTCTGGGGGTGTAATTTTCTGAATAAAAAAAACACGACAAGGGGCACCTGGGTGGCTCAGTCAGTTAAGCATCTGCCTTCGGCTCAGGTCATGGTCCCAGGGTCCTGGGATCGAGTCCCTCATTGGGCTCCCTGCTCAGCGGGGAGTCTGCTTCTCCCCCTCCTTCCCGCTCATGCTCTCTCTCTCATCTCTGTCTCTCTCAGATAAATAAATAAAATATTTTTTTAAAAAAGACACGATAAGTTATTTTTAGTATTTGGGAAGTGGTGTGTGCTTATTTAAAAGGAGAAACATGAAATGAGGAATGTAAGCTTTAGTCCCCATTTTAAAAGAAATGCACGCCTTTTACAGAGTCTTTATGTTAAAACAGCTGGAGAGAATTTTTTAAAGGCAAATATTTTACAACTCCTTATCCTCTGGACTCAGGAGGAAGTAAGAAGTCAACACCTCTCTATCAATAAAAAGCGTCCTTGGGATACACTTGGTTAACTCCAGTGACTTCTAGGCCGACTCAAGGGAGGATATATCTTGATTGACTTTGGTTTTATCTTACATTTTTCTTCATATACATTGTGCTGCATCTACCTTGTTTAGCATCCAAACCATGATAATGAAAAGTTACTGGTTGCTAGGATTTGTGATTTGTCAGTGGCAAGCACCCCTAAAGTCTTCATTTTTTTTTTTAAGAAAAATAAAAATAACATTAGTTCAAAGTTCTAAAGAGATCCTGTTTCTCAAAAATAGATGGAACATGTGAAAGCAATTAAACAAGTACCTGGAATATGTTATTTTTCACCACAGTGAATCAGGACAGAGGAAAGTAGGACTTGGGGAGGGGATCTTTGCCTTTAATTCTGTTGTCCCGGTTTAACTTATTTCATTTCTCCTCAGAAGTTCCCTCTGATGGCATGTTTCCTACATATGATTTGTCTTTGTGGAATGCACAGGCACACACAGCTCCCCTACCACCACCACGAGCAGCGGTAGCAACCCCCAAACTAGGTACAAGGTACACACACACACACACACACACACACGCACACATCACTGATTTTCATTCTCTGACATAGCTTCCTGTGTCTTGATTATAAACAACCTGTGCTCATTTTGTTTTTCACTTCAGAATTTTTTATTCTTATTTATTTATTTTTGACTTAAGAATTTTTTTACTTTATTTTTTTAAATTTTTTATTGTTATGTTAATCACCATACATTACATCATTAGTTTTTGATGCAGTGTTCCATGATTCATTGTTTGTGCATAACACCCAGTGCTCCACGCAGAACGTGCCCTCTTTAATACCCATCACCAGGCTAACCCATCCCCCCACCCCCCCCCTCCCCGACTTAAGAATTTTTTAATGTGACAGTTACAAACATGTTCTAGGTTTGTCCCCTATGATGTTGGTTCTCCTCTTAGAATTGCTTAGCTTTTTGAGACACATCAAGAAGGCAGAATACTTACAATGTTTCTGTGTAATTCCATGCACTACGGTTTTGCTCAGGTGCTGATTACCCAGAATGAGGGTTCACCCAGTTCTCATTCCTCTGGTTGACCACTCTGACCATTTTCATCACACATCAACAGTTCAGCCAAGTAAAAATGAAATTCAAGCCAGACAATACCATTAGGTAGCAGAAGCCATACTTCCTATTTCATTTTAATTGTTTACATTGTAAGTTTTAGACCAAACATGTTAAATCTCATTGCCAGCATGCGGTATAACCTCCTTCCCCCATTACCTGGGGGTTCCATTTCTCTTTATGCTCAGCTAAGCGGTAGTTCACTTTAATTCTGAAATGGAGATGCAACATCTTATCTAGGAATTTTGGAGACATTGAATACAGTTCACAGAAGGGAAGCCTGAGAAGTCCCCCTGTCCTGATGACTTGCCATTTCTGGGTTATCATAATTGTTCTTCAGTGGGTGAATGGTTTGCTTATAGTCCTGCAGAGAGAAAGTACAATGGCCTTATACTGGGAGCTCCAGGGTGAGGACAGAGGCCAGGAAATGGGTTGCATTTATGCCTTACGTAGTGCCACAGTGCTACAGAAATATTTGTGGACTCAACATGCTGCACCATTTAATTCATGGAATCTCCACCTTCTTTACCCTTGAAGCACTGTTCTCTGCTAGTCCTTGCGTACCTATTCGATTGTCTATTTCTCGCGGGGGAATGGCTTCATTTTAGGCCAGTTGTTCAGAGCTGTGATTTTTGTTTTGCTTTGTTGTTGTTTATATGAGGCATTTCCGCCTTTACTATTTCTGTGAACTAGGTTTGAGGAAGTGGGAGAGAAGGTTGTTGCCAGGATGTGCAGGATCAGCTGGGGTTGCTCCCGGGCTGCCTGGGGTGCGTGGAGGCTGCGCACTTTGGCTGGGCTCTGCGCTCCCGGGACCGCCTGAGCACCCGGCCCGTGCAGCACGCCCCTGGAGCTGCAGATTGCTTTTGCTTTTTCACATTTTGAACAGATAAAACAGAGGAAGCTGCATATTGAATGTTAGAGCTGACTTGGAACCAAAACCCTCATTTTGTTCACAAGGAAAGGATTGTTTTCACTGGGGTCACTGCTGCGGAGAGATTTTTTTTTTCTCTTCTCTGTAATGTTTGATACTTGAGGGAAAACAGCTGGGTTGAGCATACTTGAATCGCTGCAAAATGAAATGGGATGCTGGGGAATATGCACTGTACTGTATGGCTGAAAAGGTCAGCTTTTTCCCTTGTCCCTCGTGGAGGAATGCGGGGTCTGTCCTCATGCTCGCCCTATGAGCTCTCGCAAGGAGCCGGGAGAGGCGGAAGCCATGGCCGAGGTGTGGCAGGCCTGCCTAACGAATGGCACAGGAGGCTGCTTTTTGCTTCTCTTCCCTTTTCCTGCCCTGCTGTTTTTGATTTTGGGGGAGGAGTGGAACAAGTCAACAGAATTTTGGTTTGGAGAAGTAGTTGATGACCACGTTGAGTAGTCCTGATGGGCCAGACAGATGAGAGCCGGGCCCAAACCACAGCAGTGGGACTGGAATGACAGGGCCAGCCTGGCGGAGAGAGTCCTGTCGGAGTTTGCCAGAAGGAGGCCCCGTGCCGGTCCAGGGTCCCGGGGTGTGTCGCGGTGCCTGGGACCTGGTTCTCCACCGCATTAGGCCCCGGGGTGGTGTGTGCGGCTTCGGAAGCCCCGGCGGGCCAATCGGTGGGCGCCCCAGGTGCAGCCACCCAGCTGCCAGAGCTCAGACTGGTGGGGAGGCCGGGCTGCACCCGGCTGCCAGAGCAAAAGGCTCTGGGGCAATGATCTGATTAACTTTTCCTTGGTTTCTTTGCCAGTCAAGAGAACAATCGGATGATGAGACCGAGGAGTCGGTGAAGTTTAAGAGGTTACACAAGCTGGTCAACTCCACTCGCAGAGTGAGGAAGAAACTGATCAGAGTGGAAGAGATGAGAAAGCCCAGCACTGAAGGTAAAAAAAAAAAAAAAACATGCTCCGCCCTGTTTATTCCAAATTAAATCAGGCGGGGTCAGCTCTTCAGTAGAAAAAGAGTATGATTTCAACTGGAAAATGGATTGCATCCCGGCTGAGGCTGCAGAGAGAGCCTCGGGTCTGCATGTGAGCAGGGCATTGCTCAGCATGTTAGGGATCCTGGCGTCCAGCGTCTCGGGAGGCTTAGTACTGTTCGTGTTACAGCGACGGGAAATGGCTGGTGTGTGACAAGGAAGTCTTCTCAAGATGTGCCACAGCTTTAATGTTGAGCGTACACCACTTTACATCAACTTTATCTTATAACTTCTTCTCAGCAGTAGCCTCTGTGCCCAAAGGACAATGGTTCTTGCCCATTGAATTTATTTTTTTAATTTTATTTTATCATGTTAGTCACCATACAATGCATCATTAGTTTTTGATGTGGTGATCCACGATCCATTGTTTTCATATAACACCCAGTGCTCCATGCAGAACGTGCCCTCCTTAATACCCATCACCAGGCTAACCCATCCCCCCACCCCCCTCCCCTCTAGAACCCTCAGTTTGTTTCTCAGAGTCCATAGTCTCTCATGGTTCGTCTCCCCCTCTGATGCCCCCCCTTCAGTTTTCCCTCCCTTCTCCTAATGTCCTCCATGCTATTCCTTATGTTCCACAAATAAGTGAAATCATATGATAATTGACTTTCTCTGCTTGGCTTATTTCACTTAGCATAATCTCTTCCAGTCCCATCCATGCTGTAAAAGTTGGGTATTCATCCTTTCTGATGGCTGAGTAATATTCCATTGTATATATGGACCACATCTTCTTTATCCATTCATCTTTTGAAGGGCATCTCGGCTCTTTCCACAGTTTTTGCCCATTGAATTTAGTCCAGATTTGATGTACATCGATCTCAAACAAACATCCAACAATCGAGGCACTTAATATCCTTTCAGATCTCCAAGGGATGATTGGTTCTTCCTGTGAACAGTCTCAGGACTCGGTTCAGATGGGGCTCTAAGGACCTTATGTTCTAAGTGGATCTTAAGAGCTATATTGCTGGCTAAGCGGCTTGTCAGATGAAGCAATTATGTCAGAAGGGGCACGAGCTTGGATTTATTGTAGTGAATAGTTAACCTTTAAAGTGTAATTATGACAGCTTAAATCTCACCCATATTCGTCACTCCTGTTGTTAGCAGTGTGCATTTGCAGCATCTTGTAAGAATCTCCCAAAAGGATAAAAGAATAAGATTTCCTGTTTGGAAAATGATAAGTGAACTGGAAAAAAATACTGGAAAGAATAGGTCTTATTTTTAAAAAGCACATGACTTGTTAAAATGTCATATCTACATTTTGAGGAATTTCAAAAATTTAACATGTAGATTTGAAAATGATCATTGAGAGGCCTTTTTGTCGTACACAAATAAAATCAAGGCGTGAAGAGAACTGGGATTTCCCCTGACTTACATAGAGGAGGGTTTCCTGTTTTTATTGCTGTTTTTAAATTTCTGTTTGCTGTAATTATTTACCAGCTTAACTCCGCTAGAGAAATATTGGAGGTGAGGGTATTACGAGGGGAGCATGGAGGCAAGAAAGGAAAAGGAGGAGGGGCAGCGAGAGAGACGTGCTTATGGGCAACTTCGCACAGAGTTGTGTTGAATTCCAGGTTTCGTGTGGGTGTCTTCTTGCATGGTTATTCTGCTTGCCTTTGGGTGCGATGCTGATTTTACATTTGGTTGTTTTAACACCTGCGTGTCAGTCATGGTTTTGCAGTACAGAATATAGCCTGATTGCCTCTCACGGGCGGCTCTTAACGAAATCACACACGTAGTGTCCGTTGGAATAGTAAGGAGAACCATATGGAATTGCCATCATTCAACCTTGTGTACCACATTTTAAAACAAACCTCTCACACTTGCCAAAATTAAATCTCAAAACACAGCGAATGGATTGGTGGGTCTTGTCCATAAACGAGGACACATGAGTGACATGCGGGGTACTCTGGGCCTACCCCCCAGTTGCCCGTACGTACAGAGTTGTCGTGGGCATTAGGGCTGCCTTTCGAACTATCTCTGAGAGACATAGTTGACAAAAGGGAAAAATATACCTAGAGGGGGTAGCTTTAGGGTGAGAAGTAGTAATTGTACGGGCTTCTAGCCCTGAACTGTAATTCATCTGGTTATGAATTAGGTGCCACTGATGGAAGATGGATTAAATGCGCCTGAGTTCCCATTAGCCTCTGGTGTCTGATGAGTTGGGGCGCTGGGCTGCCGCTAACTGGACTTGTCGGTTTTGCCAGGAGAAGAGTCAGGTGTGTGTGTGTGGGCAGCTCAGGGCATCCGCGTGGGGCTGCCCCCCAGCCACACTCTAGACGAGAACGGTCCTCCAAATCCTGTGGAGTAGCACTCTCTGAGCTTCCTCGCTGGCGAAAGAACGGGTCCTTGGCCATCGCTTCTGCAAAGCAGGAGAGACTCACATTCCCAGTAACCCCTCCCTCACTGCCCCGGGACCTTCAAAGAGTTGAGCCTTTCCCTTCCTACATGTCTGTGCTGATGCTAAGTTGTCTGAAGATTATTCACCGGCACTGAGAGCATCCTGTGTGCCAGCCACTTTTCTACACGCTTTAGATTTTATGTTCATTTTAATATGTCATCCTCAGAGTAGCCACCAGAGGCGGGCATTAATACCATCCTCATTTCACAAACGAGGGGATGGACACACACCAAGAGGTTAAATAATTCGCTCAGTGTCACTGAGCTGGCTGGCAGAAGGCCCAGAATTAAGTCCAGGTGGCCTGGACTCCACTCTGCTCCCACCCCTTCCCCACCCCTCAGCTCTGGAGTCCTGCAAGAGCCAGGAGAGTTAGAGTCTCTCACTTAGTCTCACCCTTTTGACTGAGTTTCAAATCCTTATCCAGGGCACGGATGACCCTAGACGATATTCAGTCATAGGCCAGGTCAGTGCCCTTCGTCTGCCCTTTTTGTGTTTTTTCTCCTAGAGCCGATACCCACCGACCCTCTTCCCTCATTGGCCCAGCTTATCTGTGACCCAGTAATGGATCATTAGCTTTTGTACGGTGCTTTTTAGGTTGTAAAGTGCCTTCACATATTTCTTTTCATTTAATTTTATCATCTTCAGTAGTCTTGAAGTAGATATTTCTAGGATAGGCAGACGTTATTACAGGTGAGGAAACAGACTCGGAGAGATGCAATTATTGCCCAAGGTCATGGAGATGGTGAGTGGCAGAATCAGAGCTGGAATCAGGGCATAAAGGTGGATTCTTGGCATTAAGTCACCCCAAACCCTAGCCACGTTTCCTTCCACATTCTGATCTCAGGGACAAGAATAGATAAAGGTCATTATGTAAAGTAGGTCACACCAAATCACTACGGGGCCTTGCATGTTGACCGCCATTCTTCTAAAGGATGGTTGTACTTTGGAGGTCCCAGAATGGGAGCAGTGGTGCTCTGGACCAAGGAATCAAGTCCAGGCTGGGATTTCAGGCCACGGGGCAGACCCACCACAGAAGAACCTACCCCAGGCAAGGCCTGCCCTCAGCACACAGGCTGATGCAGCCACTGGAGAAGCACTGGTCATTTTTCCCTCCAGTTACCAAATGCAGACTTTCCAGAACCAGGACACAGAGCTATAGGTCACGGGCAGGTGCCTACCAGCTGGTTCCAGACTCACATGTGCCATGGAAGTAGGGAAGCTCTGATGACAGCTCTAAATACAGAGTCCAGAAAATCTCCAGACCGCTGTTGGGTGACAGGTTGTTAAAGTAGCCAGTAGACCCACCTGAATTCCCCAAGGCCCCTTCAGACTGTAGGTGGATGAGGGCCTTGCCATCTCCGTGGACACCCGGGCTAAATGTCAAGCCGTGGTCTGTGGTCTGGACACGTTTGTAGAGGAGTCCAGCGTGAGCTGCCTCTGCCATCAGGCTGTGCCTCTCATCTGGGCCCCGTCCCTTCTTCCTGAGAGTGGAGGCTGGATTTGATCTAGAAGAGATTGCCATGTTTACTTCTCACAGCAGAAGGACCCGTGGCCTCCATACCTTATTAGTCAGGTGTCCTGAGGAAGAGCAGGAGACGTTCACGATGTTTGCACATTGCCTCTGGTCCGGCGAATATCCCCTCTGAAGCCTAGACTTTGCTTTTACACTCTTGTGAAGGGTCCAGGGATAATCCTCCAGGGAATACATTTGTGCTGCAGATGACGGAGAACTCTGGGCTGGACACGGTCTTGAACCTCCCTCCCCACCACCATCTCCATGACATCAGAATCCATCTGGGGAAATAACTGCAGTTCTGATTTTCTTTACATTTGTAACAATAACTCCCATCAGTTGGAAAAGTAAGAATAGAATTTGAAAGGACTGCTGCCAGTCCTTACGTCCTTCCCCTTCTGAAGTGAGCAGCTAGCTCTGACATTTACCCACCCCAGCTGGTGTATTTAGGGCCACCCCTCTGTTCCAAGGAACTTTTTATTTTTTCCTTTTCACAGTTCAGCTGGTGGAAAGCTGCAGTGCTCAAACGTTTCCTTATAATTAAAGGGACACAGCCAGTTAGGATCGCTACACCCACACTTTGACCTACTTCTTTTTCACATCTGTTCACATAACACACACAGGAAAGAACTCAGTTTTCCTGCCAGTGAGTCCAAACCTTTCCACTGGGCTCCTGAAGGCTTGGCTCAATACCTTGCTCCAGGGAAGGCTTCAAGAGCTGGAATCCTTGAAACAAAGTGGAAGCTCGATGGGGCTGCCTGCGTGGCCAGGCCCTTAAATGCCCTTGCTGCTTCCTAGCAGGGCCAGTTGATGGCCATGTCTGGCTGGAATCCCCCAGTTCCCTAACTTTTTGTGTCTGGCTTGTCACCTGGGGACCATTTGTCATTTGCATTTGCACACTATCACCCTGTATGGTGTCTTTGCACCCAAACTGCCTTGGGGATTTAATTACTTCAGTGGCACATGTACCAATAAAAAAAAAAAATCACTATCGGCCACGTGGCATTCATCACACTCTGACTGTAAAAAAACCAAGCGGACTCAACAGGAGGGCCTTTCAGACAGGGGAAAAATTCTGATTCCTAGCTTCTGAGGACAGCACTTACAAACTGGGGGAGGGTAGTTTGTAATCCTATTTGGAGTGGGGAGGAGAAGGGTAATTATCTTTAAATGCTAAGGGCTAAGGAGTATGGTGATAATGACTGGCTTAGGTTTTCCAAAGGGCATTTTGAGTAGGTTTCTTAAGGTGTTTGTTCCACAAAGATATTTAAAGAAGAAAACACACCCAATACCTTTTAACGTTAAGCTTGTGTGAAACCATACATTTGCACAGTTGGATTATTTTTTACATGCATTTATTTGAGTGGGAGCCGGGTTTATGAAGAGGGTAAGTGATACGGGGAGGGGATCGCTGTGGTGTCTGTGAGGATTAGCTTATTCTTTGTAGGGCAGGGGCTATAACGAAAAGAACGATGCGGGTGAGAGCACGTAGAGGTGTACGTACAAGAGACCGTGAACCTGTCCGTATTGCTTTCCCTCCAGGCGGGGAGGAGCACCTGTTTGAGAACTCCCCGGGCCTGGATGAAAGGTCCGCCCTTTACTCGGGAGTGCACAAGAAGCCATTTTTCTTTGATGGCTCTCCTGAGAAACCTCCGGAAGATGATTCAGACCCTCTCACCACTTCTCCATCGTCCGGCAGCCTGGATACCTGGGGAGCCGGCCGGAAGTTGGTCAAAACCTTCAGCAAAGGAGAGAGCCGGGGCCTGATTAAGCCCCCCAAGAAGATGGGGACGTTCTTCTCCTATCCAGAAGAAGAAAAGGCCCAGAAGGTTTCCCGCTCCCTGACGGAGGGCGAGATGAAGAAGGGCCTCGGGTCCCTGAGCCATGGGGTAAGTACGGACGGCGTTTGCTTCTATGACAGCCGCCGGCGCAGGCACCACCTTCTGGTGTCCCTGGAGGAGGTCCAGAGTGTCCGGAAGCAGATCCGCTTGAAGAAAATGGATACTAACTATTCATGTTCCAGAGCTTTCCTCTGCCAGCGTCCCTCCAGAAAAGGAGTCCACAGCACTGCCTGCGACCTGCAGCTGCCCCGGCCGAAACCCAAAGGGGGCGGGGGCTGCGGCGCCCCCAGCAGGAGGGTGCGTGGGCGCCCCGCGGTCAGCGAGTTCAATATCACCTACGTGGTGGAGCGGAGCCTGTACGGCCACCTGAACCTGACCCAGCTAGTGCGTCCTGCCTCCGACAGGACCCTGAGCAAGGCCGAGAGGCAGGACCTGAGGCGGTGCTTGCTGGAGGAGGAGGAGGAGACCAAGAGGAAGTGGGCCGCCACGGTCGACCGCTGTACTAAAAGGGTTCTCTTGAGAATCCACCAGAAGTCTGTGAGTCACAGAGATGGTCACCAGGACGGCCTTGTCATTTCTCTGAGGTGCAGTCAAGCATTATGGCCTCTCTTCCGTGGAGCCTGGCGCCCTCCCCCTCTCTTCTGCACCTGACTTCATGACTTCAGGGTCCATTCCGCCATCACCTCAGATTTCTAACCCTACTCAATAGCTTCCTTTCCATTTGGCCTCTTGCCAGTTGAAGCTGTTTGATTTTTAATTGAAACTAAACACCGATGATGATCCAGGGGAGGGCTTTCAGAGTGCAGGGGTGGCGTTTGGCCTCCTTCTAGGAGTGGCTGTCTTGATTCTCAGCCATCCCGTCACTTGACCTCAAAGAAGCTGATGAAGGACGTTTTGCTCTTAAAAGACACGTTTATTCTTTCAGTTAATTAAAACAATAGAAACTGGCTCACGGAAAGATTGTCATCAACACAATCACCGATTTGGTGATTTTGAAAACATCGTCAAGTACATTTCTTTTATTAGTAGGGCCAAGCAGAAAGTTCTTAAATGTAGAGGGGCAAAAAATACTAGAGCTCTTTTGTTTTATTTAAATTTATTTGATAGTGTGTCTATCTTCTTTAAACAGAGGGGTGGACATTTAGAGATGTCTTCCACTGCCCCGTAGATTCTTCTGTACGTAGCAGGAAATAAAGTACTTACAGTCAAAGATGTTTTTCAGTTTTATTACTGAATTATTAGAAACCTAGTAAGATTGCTTTTTAGGGTGAGACTTATGTTCAACCTTGAGAATATAAGCATTTTCCTCCCTGAAATTACCACCCAAATTTTAGCTTCCACAGGAACCCACCATACAAGGCACAGAGTGAGGAATTCTGTGGGCTTCCTGGCCCCCTGTCCCTTGACGCCCTGTTCAGTCCACTGGGACTGCTAGCTGCATCCCCCTTTAAGGGTCTGAAGGAATAAACTATAGTGCAGCCTCCCAGAGGGGATTTTTCCTGGGGTTCCTTCACATTCATGCATCAGATATTCTTCCCCGGACAACTGCTCTAACTTCTATTCATTCAGTCGAGTTCGGCTTCTTGCAGAAATGGAGACCAATTGGTCCATGCCATCCCTAAAATGACCTTCCCTATTCCAAAAGGATTGGTAGGTCCATCCTAGCCTTTAGGTTTTCCAGATGTTCCCACATGTAACTTTCTTGCTGGAGCTTATTTTCTATCTTTTCTCATTCGTACAAATCTTCTAACACTTGAATACTGTGACAACTTCCCTTCTGGTTCTTTCTATACGTCATGGTGATAGTTTGTGGTTGGTTCTGTGTTTGTTGTACCATAACAGAATTCTCTTTCTCACTCCTTCAGTTCTGACCCACAGGTCTTCTGTAAAATGCTGTGGCGAACCAATCTTGGTATAATTTGTTAACTTGAGAGGGGCTCTGCCCAGTTCATCTGCACATGACCTTGATAGATCTACCTCTTTTCTGTTGATTGGTTACTCATCCCCATGAACTTAAATCGTGTCATACTGAGAATTTTTCCACCTTGAGTACCTTGAATTCCTCATGCGTCTCCCTCACCTTTATTGCCAGGCTAATAATGTAACGTCTGCAAGACTTTCTAGAAGTTATATTTCCAAGATTTGTGCTAATGAAATTGTGGGCCAGTGATTAATTCTTCACTGACCTTGAGTTATGGACATGGGGCAAGTTTCTTTTCAAGCACCAAGTTTTTTCCTCCTTATAAACATGGTGGTACTGTGTAATCTCTATCCCAGATGTCACCCCAGGCTGGGTATTTTTAAGGTACTATGAGCCTGAGGTAGTACTGGACAGTTCTAGTACTTGCTGAAATACGTGTTCAGTACTAAATTAGAAATCTGCACATACCTTTTCCTGTTAAGTGTAACTGCACAATCAGGAAGACAAAATTTAATTTTCCAATTATTCAGAGAATGTAAGGGTAAATAAGCATTTGTAACAACAGTTTTTTGGGGTGGTTTGGTTTGGTTTTATGGGATTAATGTCCTTGCTTGGTTTACTTTGAACAGCCTTTTCCATCCTTCTTGTCATATCACCTCCACTTTACCTGAAAGTGCACAGTTTCCTTTACTCTTTAAACTTGATCCTTTTGTCTTTCAAAAAATGCCATATTTGCTTGATGAAACCTCAGGGAAATGATAATGCTGTATATTCACTGGAAATGGTCACCTGTCTTGCTTTTTATTTGGTCATTCAGTTTTTGTTTGGGGAACAGGCATGCATGACATTTTGGAATTTTGTCCATTTTTAAAATTCAACCCCCCACACCCACCCAAAACATGTTTTCAACTGCATGACCATTCCATCGACTGGCTCTCCTCATCCGCAAGCATCTGTCCCAAATGTTCTTATTGTTAGCTGTATAGGAGATACAGGAACTTAAAAAAAAACACCTCACTTAAGTTTCAATTATGTAGATCACCAGAGGTGAAGATTGGTTTACTTTCTTTTACTATCCTCTCTAGAGTCTGTGTTCTCTGTTGAAGGAGTGCTGTTTCGGGAACTGCTTGATGTTACAGAAAAAGCTGAAGATTTGTTCAAGTGATGTTTACTGTTATATTCTTTGTCTCTCCTCCACTGATAAAGAAGAGTCTGTTCCGGACACCTTAGCATATCACTGGGAGAGGTTACAGTTGGTAGCTAAGAAACCCAGTCCACTCTTCACTCTGAGCTTTTTATTTTAGGAATAAATGCCTACAGCTGGCATATGAAGACATAAATGAGCTTCTAATTCATTGCAGTCAGGTTTCCACATAAATTCTTTCTCAGTTATTTCATATGCATCAGAAAGTACGTGCTGGGCTCCAGTGTTGCAGTAGATGCTGGAATTTGAAGCAGGGAAATGCAGAAGCCATAAAATGATGAGGCATCTGGGTGCCATACTGTATCTGTGAAGCCCTGAGTCACAGGAAAGGAACTAGGATAAAATCACTGCCTTTGCAAAAATGCGAAAATCTATTTGGCATTAGAAGCCGGAAAGGGAAGGTAAACGTTAAAAATTAGGCTTGAGAGGTGGCCATAACCTTGCTTGCCAGGTTGGGGGATTTGGTGTTTTTGAATAAAGCGGTCTTTTTTTTTTTTTTTTTTTTTAAGATTTTTATTTATTTATTTGACAGAGAGAGACACAGCTAGAGAGGGAACACAAGCAGGGGGAGTGGGAGAGGGAGAAGCAGGCTTCCTGCCGAGCAGGGAGCCCGACGCGGGGCTCGATCCCAGGACCCTGGGATCATGACCCGAGCCGACGGCAAGACGCTTAATGAAAGCCACCCAGGCACCCTGGTCTTTCTCTTTTTATAGACTAGAATACAGTGAGGTTGACTATAAGGGAGATCAGATTGCCCATCAATACTTAATATAAACTTAGAATTATGTCCATGGTAGATAACTTTCAACAGTGGCGGCAGCTTTGGTGAGGGAGAAAAACCAGTTGTGTGGCCTCTTAAGTTTGGTTATCCCAGAGTGTCCCCTGCAGCACTTCTGTGTCTGCTGGCCCCTCCACTCTGCCATGCCTGCCCGCTCTCACTTCCGGTTCCTTCCTGGGAGGCTCTGATGGAAGCTCCTAGAATGTAAGGCCCACAACTGAGCTTCAGCCCTTCATTTGCATCTTTAGAACGGCGACTAAGCCTAAACTTGAGTGTGGTCATTCTCGGGACAAGCTGCCAAATCCTCAGAGCAGCTGTGATGAAGAGTGCATTCACAGCAAGTCTGCTGCTCACGGACAAAGCAGAGTTCAGAGTCTAAGTACTTTACCTGTCACGCAGCAAGTAAGCGGCAGGACCAGGGCCATCTGCGAGATTCCAGAAACCTTGGCATTTTCCTTCCTGGATGTTTCTGCTTTCTCAGCTCAGTTACTATATATCTCAAGTATATTTATTCTAAACAGGCAATGTTTATAGTCTACATTGTGCTTTTCTGGTCATTTCTTCCATTGAACAGCTGTTAACTAGATTTCTTTGAGAAACAAGTAGTATAAAATATTGGCACCCAAATCTGTTATTCAGCTTTTATTACCATTTGCTTAAAAAGTAAGTCGGTTGTAACAGAAATTAATGTGCTTTGAGCCTGTCAACAGATTTTTTTGGGTGGGGGAGTGGCCATCGAATAGCTTTTGCTAGAAGAACAACAGAATTCAAAGCAAATTCTGAAATACAAAATTGCTGAAATATAAGCAATTCCATAAAGATGGAAACCAACTAGAGGACAAGAAGGTTTTCGTTCTTTATAACATCATGTTTTTCCTATTGAAATTCAAGAGTGTGGTCAACGACAGTCACTGAATCAACATTTTCTTTCTGGGCAAATGTGGTGTCTTCATACACTCTGAGTAAAAGGGTCATCATTAGTTAAGTTGGGCAGTTAGATGGGAAAGTTAGCAGCATTTTTGGCTAGGTCAAGGAAGCAATGAGTGAGTAATCCTCTTGGCCTGACTGGACTACTATAAACATAACCTTTTTTCCCCTTCTCAGCGATTTAAAACCAAACAAAACAAGAGTCTGTTAGAAAAGCCTGCTGTCAGTGGCAGACCTATGTAGGATTTCAGACCTGGGTTTCCAAGACCACTCTGAGCACATGGGTGCCCTCACCATCACTACTGGGTGCAGCTGGTATCGGGGGACTGGAAGGGGATGATCTGTTGCTAAGCGACAGGGAATCTTAGAGCACCTAACACGTGGGTGGTTTTTTGTTGTGTGTGTGTGTGTGTGTTTTAAACCAATTGGTTTTTGCATGTTAAGGGGATTCTAGACCTCTGAGGTAGGCCCAGTTCCAGTGGCCTCTGCAAGGACAACACGAGGGAAATTTCCTTAAAACATGAATCATGTATTTTTTTTCCTCATCATTTCTTGTTCCCTACTTTCATCCTGTAACATATTTGTGGTTCATGATTGTCCTGCAAATGGGAAATGTGTTGGGTTGGTGCACAGTCGGCTGATGTAAACGTAACTGGATTATTCCCACCCTACCCGCTCCTTTCCACAGAGAACCTGCAGTTTTGGAGGATTTGATTTGACGAACCGCTCTCTACACATTGGCAGCAACAATTCTGATGCAATGGTTAGTATATGTCAGAGGAAAAGCAAAAAAGGTTTGCATTCAAGCAATGTGACTGATACAGTTGCATGTTTAGTGTCTCTGAGAAACGATGGTGGGTAATGTCGGTGATGCTGCATCGTATATGGAGGAAGCCCTGTTCTCCCCGTCTCAGAGATGCTCTGCTGTTGCACGGGCAATGAACAGTGACCACCTCCATCCCCATGATGCCTTCGCTTCTGGTTCTCTTCAAGTTGCAAACCCAGTCTGGAGTTTGGCTTCCACGGTCCTAGCCATTTGAGCACACATGCCCTTTGTTCACACTCGTTGCCAGTGCACACAACTGGTACACACAGGTGGTGTGCCAGGATGGAGCCCTGTGATGGGGGCGAGAGTCTGTGCCAGCATTTCTGAGACACCAGTCTGACCACAGGCCAAGTGCATGGCCCTCTAGGAGTCTAGGTCTTTCTGATCTGGGGTGTCCTGGAATGAACCCAGTCTCCTTGGGCCCGGAGCAAACCAGACTCTTTGGAGCCAAGGTTCTAGTGGCCTCACACCTTCTGGGTCACCATGGGGACAGGCCACCCCTGTGGTGCACATATTCTGTTCCCTGAGGTTTTCTTTGTGAGGCTCCAAGGATGTAGGTGAATTTTACCTACTGTTTTGTTTTCCCCTTAGGCATTTTCTCCAAAACTATGAAATTAAAATTCCGTGCTTTATATTGATGTATATGTCATGTGTCGGCTAAAATACCATCTGTGATTTTTGAAGTGTTTTGAGAATTTCCTGGAAGGATAACAATATTTTATTTGGATATCAAATTTTATTGATTCATAAACCAGTAATTTTATGTAGTCAACCTTTAATAAAAAATGAGAGAAGAAGAATGATTTCTTTTTCCTTTCTCCGCAGAAAGTTTTTGTTTTTTTTTTTTTTTTCAGTGCAAGATAGAATGAGAGGTGACCACAAGTCTAACTTGTTCAGAGAAGGAAATGTACATACTCTTAGTACTTGACCACACGGAGCTCTAGAGGGATGTAAGTCCAATGAGACGTTGGACTTCTGATGACTAAGATTGGCCATTCTGTTCTTACCACTTTCCTGCGGTGATTCAGTAGTACCCTCTTCTTCCCCACTGCCAGGATTATGTGAACATAATCACTCTTTATTAATGAAATGCCGTCCCCTTGGGTAGCTAAAATGATGAGGAAAAGTATAATTGGAGAAGAATATACTAAGGTTAAAAAAAATAATAAGTGACCCACATCTCACTTTAAACAAACATGCAAAAGCCCCTTAGTGAGTAGCTTTTAATTTTAAATCGAAAAGACAAATAACATAGCACTAAGTTAACATAGGAAAAAATTTCGAGATCCTGGGGGATGCCAATATTTTTCTGAGAGGTAGAACATTAATGGTTTGAATAATAAAAGCTGTTTCAGGGCTTCATTTGTCTGTGGTTAAAGGTACTTACAACACTTTGTTTTGCAGAGTAAAGAAGGAGATTTTGTGTACAAAGAAGTTATCAAATCACCCACTGCCTCCCGCATCTCTCTTGGGAAAAAGGTGAAATCAGTGAAAGAGACAATGAGGAAGAGAATGTCTAAAAAATATAGCAGCTCTGTCTCTGAGCAGGTATGCAACTCCTGAGCCAAGAGCCAAGCCGAGGATGGTCAGTCTGAGATCTGATATGGTGCTAAACACAAAGCATTGGTATTAACCAGGCTCTAGGACCATGGACACAGAAGTTCGATAGACATTTATTCAAAGAGTCAGTGAATGTTTATAAAGCGCTTAGAGTGGTCCATGCTCAGTGCTGAGGATCCACAATTTGGGCCCTGTCTTTTACAGACACACGAGAAAAAGACAGCATGTAAAGAAACGATTATTCTTAGTGCCGTAAGCACTTAACATTTGATACAAAGGAAGGATTTTATTTGCGGAAATATTCCTTGCTACAAAATGGGTGTTACCAGAATCAAAGCTGAAAAAGACACTCAAGTTTCCTTAGACAGCAGACTTTTTTAAAAGGTAGTGGAAGTTACTCTAAAAGCTCATAGCAGATAGACTCGGAAAGTCTGGCTGCAGGGCTGCCCACAGTAGTCGTTTCTGCAGGGGCGTTTTTGCTAACTGGACCTCTCTCTGTGGCCAGTAAGGTAGCACAGCACAGACCCCCTCTAGTTATCTAATTTCATCAGGAGAAACGTAACCAGTTCCTGTCCGAACCGGGTGGGTGGAGGGAATAAAGGCATTTGGAGAGCTGAGCCTTGAGGTGATTTTGACCATTTGCACCTTTATAGCATTCACTTTGTAGTCTGTTGAGGTACCTGTGTATGGGATGTTTGTCTACTTGGAAATAGGTAAGTGATGCTGCTCTAGCCACCAAATAAAAACAGGGAAAGCAGACATTTTCGCTCAGCTTGCGCCCTCTGGTGGACACGGTAAGCTCCCATCCAAGCATCTCCCGGTTTGACTCACTGACCACCACCAGCTAGCCAGTGGCCTGCACTGGGATGCAGACAAAGCCCGCACAGTGTCTTCAGCATATTACGGTGGTTCTCGTGGGGGGAGGGGGGTCCCCCTCCAATCCCAGGGCAGCTGGGGCTCTTTTTGACAGTCACAACCGGGTTGGGCTGGGGTGGCGTGGCCGCTGCTGGCATCTGGCGGAGGGAGGATGGGGATGTGGGTAAACATTTTACAGCGGCTCCCCCCAACAGTTCTCCATCCAACATGCTGACCATGCTCAGGCTGAGAAATTCTGGCTTGTTAGACCTCCAGGGAAGTCCGGGCTGTGTTCTGTATGTCTTCCCCATGATTATTTTCCTTTTTTGTCCCTATGGGTTTGGGAGCAATGGCAGTTCCTAGATTTCTGCCCAGCAATGAGGCAAACAGTGCACTCTCCTGTGAGGCAGATGTCACGCCAGTCACTGAATGCAGCATCACGAAGTTCAAGCACTTAAGTTTCCTTTTCCCATGAATTGAAATAGCCACTAAAAGCTCTTGTACACGTCCATTCTTTGAGGGTCTCTGCTTTACAGATCAGGAGCATAGAACTTTAATGTTATCTTGAGCTGTGTTCTATGATTTTACTACTATATAGCAGGCTTGTAGGCTTAGTTCTCTTTTTTAAAAGCAGTCATTTCACGTGAGTGGGAGGAAAAAAAAGGAATAAATGATCAGAATAATGCCTTTTGGAGAGAAAAGGCTAATGTTGCAGGTTTTGTTTTGTTTTTGTTTATAACATTTTAGTAGATATATCAACCATTATGGTAAAGATCTTTGCTCTGTTCCTCCCGTATGCCTGGCACCTGGAATAGTACTTGTTCTTGTAGGTAATCCATAAACATGTGATGAATAAGTTAGTAAAAGCATTTGAGGACATACATTATCAGAGATGTCTACTTCATATTGCTGTTTTTCAAAATTTGTGTGCTGTTTCCAGAAGTGTCAAAAAAAGATAATTGGACAAATGACTTTTTTGATGATTCGGAAAGAGTAATGAAAATGTATGCAGGAATTCGTACTCTGCAGCTTCAGTTACTTCTCAGTGATGGCACCTCTGTTTTGTATTTGAGCTTGTTTGCTCACTTTCCTTAAATATAAAGCATAAATGTGTTTTGGGGGTGCCTGGCTGGCTTAGTCTGTAGAGCATGTGATTCCTGATCTCAGGGTCGTGAATTCAAGCCCCCTGTTGGGCGTGGAGCTTACTAAAAAAAAAAAAAAAAAAAAAAAAGTTTCGGATCAGAAGCTGCCATTACTGTTGTCCTTAAATGTTTGCAGGACCCGCAGAATCACGTGAAAGCCCTTCTGATGATTCGGCACTATGTAAATAACAGGTTTCATTTAGATGGTTTTGTGCTCACGTGGCCAAGTAATATGCCAGAAAGTGGTCTGTTTTGGCAAGTAAACCATTCTGACTGCAAACGTTTTGAAGCATGATACTGTCTATCCCTATAGCACCATCCATCACGTGAGCGTGCTGTGCTTGTATGTGTAAATCAGCAGCTGCCAAGCTAATGCTACCTAGCCACCCCAAAAGTGAAAAGTACTGCTGAGTCACTCCTGTCAGCATTCTGACCCCAAAGGGACCTCAAAGCTTTGTACTAACAACACACAAAAGAAGTAAAAGAAGCAAAAACCAAATGGTGACACAGATTAATTTTATTACAGACCAAAAAAAAAAATGGTATTTTGGCTATATATCTGTATTCTAAATTGGTATTTCATTAGCTAATTTCAAGAATTTTTGTAAACAGAAAAAGAATCTGGCCTTTTCTTTTTTAGGTGTAAATGTTTCTGATAGATTAAATATTTTCTGATAGTACTTCCAGATCTTTACTGGTAGACTGTACTTGATCTGCATTCGAACTCCAGCTTTATCACTGGCCTAGAGACGATGCTAGAAGTCTCTAAGCCTTTAATGAAATGTTCTCAGGGGTAGATAGATTTTTCTCGGAGATTTCAAGAGTACCTATTTGAGCATGAAAAATGATTGAGTTATGTGAGCCACAACTCTAAACTGAAGCAAGGGTCTAGATTAAAAAGGAGGAGAATATTGGGTACGGAATCAAATATGCCTATCAAAATGGATGCAACTGATTTAGTGGAGGGCTCAATTGCCTTAAATTATAAAACGACATCCATCCACTCTGATGCAACTTAATTTTGTTGAAACCCATTCCAGGACTTGGGCCTTGATGGCATGCCTGGCTCCCCTCCATCTTCACAGCCGGATGGCGAACACATGGACAAGCCCAAGCTCAAAGCCGGAGGTTCCGTAGAGAGTCTGCGCAGTTCTCTGAGTGGGCAGAGCTCGATGAGTACGTCTGATTTGTCATTATATGTGCTTGCAGCTGGAGTCAAAATCAGCCTTTTACTGAGTGTCAGAGTCAGGCACTTTAAAGAGGAGTTAGACCAAGTTCTGACCCTTAGGGTGCTATTAGAGACAGACCCGCAAAATATGTGGGCCGAGAGTCGTATTTGTTCAGGAGTAGATGTATATAGCAGATGCACAAAAGAGGGGGTGACGAGTTTTGGAGAAAACAGAAAAAGCACCTCAGAGGAAGGATCTGGAGAACGGAGAGGAACAAGTCAAGGGGAAAGGCTCATGAAATGACCAACAAAAGAGGTGTGGGAAGAGAGAATTATAAATGTCACATGTAACAAGTGCTGCTCGACCACTCCAGGGCTCACTGGGTGTCGGCTGAGGGTATTGGGGAGAAGAGAGCAATTTAAAGCACCATTTTCAAAGCAACTGGTCTGGGGCAAGTTCCTTGACTTCTCTGAGTTTCCTCATCTGTAAAATGGGGTAAAAATAGTAAGCTGGAGAGGTTATGACTGTGGAAGGCTTGTGGTGTCCTCCGTTAGGGAGTCTGTGTATCTCCTGAATTCCCGGGTCATAAAGACAACTTGCTGGATTCCCGGTCTACTGAGGTGGTTGATTAGGGATAACAATCCAAAAACTCTGATGCCCTGGCATCCTAATCCAGCCCTGTGGCAGTCCTGACGTGTGCTTGTGGCTTGTGACTTCCCTGCTCTGTCCCTGAGTTTCCTGATCTGTGATAGCTTTCATGCCTTTAACCTTCGCCGTGCAGGAAGTCTGCATTGACCCTTGTTCTTCCTGGTTTTCCTGTGCAGGTGGTCAGACAGTAAGTACCACTGACTCCTCAACCAGCAACAGGGAGAGTGTCAAGTCGGAAGACGGTGATGATGAGGAGCCCCCCTACCGGGGCCCCTTCTGTGGGCGCGCCAGGGTGCACACCGACTTCACGCCTAGTCCCTACGACACAGACTCGCTCAAGCTCAAGGTAGGTCTCTGCCTGGCCTCAGCCTGGCTCTTCATGTCTTTAAGAGGTGGTCTGTTTTCCTTGCTGTTGAATGCTGGGCTCCTCTGGTGCACACTGGCCAGTATCTTGGCTACGGTGATAAACTGGTCTCCTCTGTACAGAGACCCAGCTAGCATGTAGGACAGAGGTGGGTCTTGTGTTAATCCTCTGTCATCACCGCTTCATCTCCAGCCCTTCCGGGCGACCTGAGCTGCCTTTTAGAATTCCTGTTGCCCTCCACCCTCCAGTGTCTGTCTTTGTCCAGCTGAAGAAACCTTAACTGTCTTCTCTGTGCGACTGACGAGTGATGTTTAACGGGACAGATGGAGCTGCATACAGTGTCTGAAGCATTTCCAGACCAGGGACTGTGCTGGCATTTGCTTGGTGGGAAGTCTTTCGCTAGGAAATAGGAGCTCTGGATGATGGCCAGGTGCCCAGCTAGCCATAAGCACCAAGAAAGACTTGGGCCACACTTCATCTCATGGTTCAGGGGGTGGAGGGTAGGAGACCTCAGGCCTGCATGGAATCTGGCTCTCTGCCAAGGTCCCAGTTATGTATAGTGATTTCAGTAGCTTCCCATCTGTGTGATGAACACATCAAACTGATGCATGGTTCATGCCTAGAGATGGATCTAATGGAAAGATCTTTGTTCCCTGGGCCACAGAAAGGAGACATCATCGATATCATCAGCAAGCCACCCATGGGCACCTGGATGGGTCTGTTGAACAACAAGGTCGGCACATTCAAGTTCATCTATGTAGATGTGCTAAATGAGGAAGAAGAGAAGCCCAAGCGCCCCACCAGAAGGAGGAGAAAAGGAAGACTACCCCAGCCCAAATCTGTGGAAGATCTCCTTGATCGGATCAACCTGAAAGTCAGTTTTGTCCCATTCTGGTCACACATGGCACCCTGTTGCCTTTTCCTTTTCCTAAGTTAAGCAAGGGCACTTTCAGGGAAGGGGGCGGGTGATGTATGTCGTCCAGCAAGGCAGCCCGTTACTAGGATGAGTATCCGTTATTCTACAGAAATAGGTACCAGTATGCTAATGCCGCTGTTGACCTCTGCTGGGGCGACCGCACAAGCCCCGGGTCAAAATTTGCTGCTAGCCCCAAGAATAGCTTTCAAAGGGCTGTAAGCACAAAGCTCTGGCGCCCTGCTCACTGGGTTCCCCAGGCTGTGAGGAGTCACCCACCAGCCCCTGCCCCCCAATTATTCCTAGGATCTAGTACACTGGGGCCACAGAGTAGATTCTGTGTCCTCCTTGCAAATTCTCTGGCTCCTGAGGAAGGCACAGGGCTTTGAGTTGGATTTCAGTAGCTCTGTAAATGAAAAGTGTCCTCCATGGTGCATTGTGTGGCATTAAAGGCTTCAGTCAGGGCAAAGGCACAGTTAAAATGCAAGCCAGTGGGGTCCATCTCAGCCTGCAAGGTACATCTTCGTAACCCATGGTTAATGCGATGCCTTGCCCGCCTGCTAAGCTGGGTGGCTGGGAGGTACAGAACACATTATAAATGAGAGTTACCAATCTTCCAGTTAGCATGAAAGTGACCATGGTAAGGGTTCAGGGGTTTGAGGCTGGGTGTTGGTCAAGCATCACGTAGCAGCGCTTGCTAACTCACCCCTGGCTTCCTTCCCTTCCCTCCTAGGAGCACATGCCCACTTTCCTGTTCAATGGGTACGAAGACCTGGACACCTTTAAGCTCCTGGAGGAGGAAGACTTGGATGAGTTAAATATCAGGGACCCGGAACACAGGGCTGTCCTCCTGACGGCAGTGGAACTGTTACAGGAATATGACAGTAAGCTCCTCCCCGCACCCGAGGGTCCCTCGTTAGCTCAGACACACACTCAGGTCCCTACAGTCCCTCCTTCGGTCCTATTCCATCCAGAGCCGGGGTCTGTCTTGTGTTACGTCAAATGGCACAAAGGCGTGAATTCCCCCACGTACCCTTTCGGTTGATGGGAGAGCAAAAGAAAACCTCACTGCTGGTGCTTTTCCTGGCATGTTTCTAGGTAACATTTGAGGAAAATGCTGCTCCCAGTGACTGAGAAACGAGTCACGTTTTCTTCACATGGTAGAGGCCCCCTTGGGCACTGTCCTCAGGATGCCTGGGGACAGAGGGAGCTGACGCACTGGGAGTGCCCTGCCCAGCCAAGGGCCAGTCCCTTCTCAAAGCACTCCAGAGCGGTTTCCTGATCGAATGGGAGGGTTAATAAACAAATGACATTCATCAGCTTCCCCTGAAGCAGCAGGAGCTACCAGAGGTGACTGTGGAGAGCAGAGACTGCCGGGGCGAGAGCTCACTTTTACAGTCCATGGGCAGAGTTCAGTAAGCTCCCAGCTTTTATGGAGTCTATTTGAATATACTGTATCCTCTGCTCCATTAACCTCGTCTGATCTTGCTCTTTATTCTTGAAACTGACATCAAAAATACCCCTGAAATTATTCCTCACGAGGGGAGTATCCTTTCTAGTTATTGAATTCAAATGCATTTTCTTTCAAGTGCTCTGCTTCGCCAGCTAATAGCATTTCTATTGCTAAAAGACAAACCAAAACCAAGGTTAATGGTGGGGAAAAAAAAAAATCCATATTACTGAATGTATCAGGCCCAAGACACATGGAAGCCAGTGAGTCAGTACAGTGAAATTCACTTCTGCTTAATCGGTCCTCCCTCTAAATTAACCAATAAACATAGAGGACCACACACCCTCCAATAGATGTCTGAACCCTAGATAAACATACTGCCTTCAGGGATAGATTTGAAGAGAATTGTGCTTCATATCGGGTCTCTTTGGTAGGGGAGCTGTCTCTTGGGGAGGGGGCGTGTGGCCAGGTCGTGGACAGAGAGCCTCCTGGCCCAGTGCCTGGTGTGGCTAGCCAGCTATATTAATATCAATTAACATTAAATCATCTACTCTCCTGGACCACATCTGCTCTTCCTCAGCCACTGAGAACAGCTGGTTTATAAACCCTGTCCATTATGTTTCCTGTAGCATTCAAAGCATAGGAGCGAAGCTACACCCTGAGGATAAGACAGGGTGGATCTGTGCTTAGTCTTTTTCCTGCCACATTGGCTCAGATTCATTGCCCCTCGGGGGGAGCAGGTCCTGAGGTCTGCACCAAGGGATATTTTATAGGAGGGAATCTGCCTATCATGATGCATACTCAGAAGTCTAAGGAGGGCTCTTTGCTTCTTTATAAATACCATTTCAAATCTGTGCTGTGCCATTGCTTAGACTGTTGCTAATGTACAAAGTAGCCCTTCCTTTTTCTGGTTCTCAAAGGCTTCGGGGGCTCCAGGGTGCTGGTTAGTGGCAATGGTCTGGGTCCAGATGTATCCTAGGATTATAAGACTTTACATTCAGTGCAGTTAAATTGTATTTAAGTAACTGATAACCTAAAGGAACACCATAGATTTCTGTCAAACTAAATTTCTATGCACTAGATCAATCCAGAGATCTACTGAGACCTTGTAGATTTTCTCACTTAGCCACCCACAAGAGCATGAAGCACATCTCCAGCATGAGCTGGCAGTCAGACCCACCAGTCTCTCTCATTGCACATCTGTGCAGGGGGAATGCAGGCCTTCGTACAGGGTTCCATTTAATTGTCTGATAGCATTTCCTTGCACTGACACCAAAACCACTGTCTTAGGCCTGCCAAATAAAGGCTCTTTTTAAAGAATTGTAGTAAGAATTTTAATCAGCAATTATTTCTAATATACAGAAAAGTACAGAGAAAAAAATCCACATATCTACTTCTTAAATCTAACTAAAGCTAACATTTTGGCATATTTGCTTCAATTTTGTTTTAAAGAAATACAAAGAACTGTTGCAAGCTCATTGAAAGGCCGGCTATCCAAGAATCCCGTTCCCTTCCCTCTTCCTTCCCGAGGTTATTCTTCCTCCTTGTGTGTATGTGAGATGGGGGAGGGCTTCAGGTCCAAGATCAGGTCATGCCCACACAGGGTTTCAGCCCCCCAGACCCTCTGAGCTTATCTATGAGAATTTTCATGGTCCAAGCTCACCTTCTTTCTTCTCCTTTGTACCTTGGTATTCATGCTAGTCAGTGGGGGAGAGGATGTGGCCTTGAATCTGCCCTTCCATCTAAGATATCTCCCTAATCAAAGAGGGCAAGTTACTTGGTAAATACTGGCTTTTAGTGTGAGGGACTTTTCCTAAACTTGATAGTTGGGGTCCTGCTAAGTAGCTGCTGAATGGATCTTTCAGGAAGTGACCATAGCCCCTCAACATAGGCCTCAGGACCGTATCCCCTGAACTGGCTTTCAGGCACCCCTGCTATGTCGGATAAGGCTGGCAGCCCCAAAGATGCAGACACAGTCTGCATCTTCATACAGTGACGGGGACAAGCGTTCTCTTTTATTCCCATCGGTCAGCACTTTGGAGTGTGTTTTGGCTGAGGCGGTACACTGAACTGTCTCGCTAAGGACAAGCTACATTGATTCCTCTTCCTGGGGTGTAACTGATAGCTCAAAGCCCTCATTTTACACATATCATTTTCCTAAATAACATACTAGATGAGGACAAAGGCCACTTCAAATCCACAGGCTCTTCCACATAATGAGGACATCACTCTAGAATGTTCTACTTTGTGTATGGGGGAGGGTGAAGGTTTTGCTGTTGTGCTTCCAATTAATTTCTCATTAGTCATTTAAAAAATAGCACTTCTTAATTTGGGATTCTACTTTAAGGGCTTCCTCTGCCAGGATTCGTGTGAGAAATGCCAACAGGAAGTGGAGAGTGGGCAGGAGGGACAGCTGGTGTGTGGCAGAATGGCGGTCATCTGCCTTCCTACCGTACATTTTTTAATGACCTGAGAAACGGCATCAGATTTCTGGTTTTTTTATTTTTTCCTTATGTATGTGGTCGGGGGAGGGGCAGTGAAGAGAAAGGAAAATAACTTAAAACCATTTATGCAGAAAATGTTTTCTTGGTTTCTGTTTTATGTGACCAAGCATTTTCTCTGCATAATACAAAGATGTTCTTCCTAACCTCGCTCCCATGAAGGCCTTATGTGCCCTCTTTATAGAATGTGCAGGTGACATGACTGAGTGATGAAGGGTCTCCCCTCCCCCCCCTTATTTCCCATGGGATTGATTTGGGGCACTTTCCCTGGACAGAAACACCAGGTACTTAAGGGTTCTTTCAGTCACCCACCTGAAGAGTGTTCATGACTCAGTGTCCAAGTGAGGGGGCTTCCTGAACTTTCCCTGTCTTACCTTTGTGTACAGGGAATAGAAATGCTGACCCCAAACAAAGGGAGAGGCCAAAAAGGAAAGAAAACCTCCTAACACATTACAAACAACAAAAACAGAAGGATTTAACGTGTGCCCCCATCAGGTTAGGGGTTCATATTCCCATTTGCCAGCCTTATTCCTGTTGAGAGACTACAAGAGCCAGTGCTTGTCACCGAGACCTGAGAATGCTCCCGGATTGTAATAAAATTCAGTATTTCATTTACCACTTTCACATTGGCTTCCAAATTGGGAAAGCTGGTGACAAGATAACTTGGAAGACAAATATTAAGGTAACCCACTTGTGAAAGGGGCATATTCACTCCTGCCTTCCAGTACCATCTCTCAGAAAGCTGCCCTGACTGCTCACACAGTGTTCTGAATTCTCCCTCTTCCTGATTGGCCTGAAGCCAGAGTCATCCTCTGAGCCAGAGTCCTCCTCTGGGTAACTTAAAAGACGACATACTCTCCCTCTGAATTTATCATCATGGTATACTTGATAAAAAATATGTTCTGATCTCCTCCATTCATTGTTATTTCATTCACTTTAAAAGAGCTTTCTTCCAGAAGTTCAAGGCTTAAAAATGTGTGGGGATAGGATAAAATCAGGATTTGGTTGACTTTGAAACCTCTGCTTTTCCTTCCCCTTATGATTCCATGCTGTGCGTTTACCTTCTAGGTAACAGCGACCAGTCAGGATCTCAGGAGAAGCTGCTGGTGGACAGCCAGGGCCTGAGTGGATGCTCTCCGCGAGACTCAGGATGCTATGAAAGCAGTGAGAACCTGGAACACGGTAATGTCCACACAGATAATCATGAGTGTGCCTTAAGATGCAAGCCATTTGGGTCATTTATGACTCATTTTCTTCCTAAGCCTGAGCCATGCTTTTGGGGATACTGGCAATAGGGAGAAGAATTTTTCCAGGATTACTGGTGCTTAATTAAGATTCTTAAAAAGACTGAACATCTCTCAAGAAACTAGGCAATGGACATTTTTGAGAAACGAGTCTTCCATCCCAGTTCACACATCAATGAGAGTTTAAGACACTTGTGTGTCAAAGATAGGACCCTCAACTTCCCATTGCCCTGAAGCTCTCAGCGCCTTAGCCCCAGGGTAGATCATGGAAAGGGCCATGGGGTCTAGAACCAGAAGTCCTGGTCCTGGGGGCTTTGAACCCTGAATAGAGCATTTACGAGCCCAAGACTTTGGTCAAATGACTTCATTGCCTCTGACCCCCCTCACCACTGAAATAGTAAATGAGTTCCTTTCTTACAGATTGTTCTAAGAGCTAAACAAAGTAATGATATATTAATACCTAGCATCTGTAAAACACGGACTACGAACTGGGCAGTCAGCCCAAGCGCGGCGGCCCTCGGTGTTGGGACACTGCCCAGGGAAGCAGGCTTATTTGTTCTCTTGTGGATCACGGTTGCAGGCACTCCTTTGATGTACCACTGCCAGAATCTGTTTATCAAAGATGACAATGCAAAAGCACCTAAATTCATTCTGAAATAAAGTAGAAAGACTGACTTTATCCAAACGGTGGAAGCTACATCTCTGAATAAATATAGGCTATATGATTAAATCTTAAAATACATTTTTGTTTTTAAAAAAATCTCAAAACTTCAGGCCAGCTAGACATCACCCAACTACACACATCTAATACGGTACTTCCTTCTCCCTCAGAGAGCGTGACTGGGGCTCAGTGATAGTCCCCAGACCTCACATCAGTAGGCCAGGCCCACCCATGGTCTCCTCACTGGAAGGAGAATGTTTTTGCCCGTAGTTGCAGTATGGAATGCCAGACTCACTGCAAATGACAAACGCAGTCCAAATCGGTGGTTCACTTATAATATATCCTTCATAATTATACACACATAGAAGATGTTCAGTAGATAGGTTTTGGCACCATAGGATCAGCCATAAATTTCACTTTGAAAAGCAGCATGATAGTATGCGAGCAAGGTATAAAATTGCCAGAAGTCCACAACTCACACCACAAAGCTCTTTAAAAGCAAGATGTTTTCAAAATAGGTGTGACTGTTTTTGTTCATCTTTTCTGTCTGGTCCACTTGACAGTTAAGAACATGGTATCTCCACCGTGTTCCCCGCCCCTTGCTTATTCAGATCTTAAACCAAGCTGTTCTGGTTCTCACTAGGGAAGTATTTCCATTGACTGCAGAGATTAATGTGAGGTGTGTTTAAAGGAGCCGGTGCTTGTTAGGCAGCCCGTAAGCCCTGCTCGTCTGTGGCGTCTTTGCCTTGAGCCACCTCTACACTTCAGCTTTGATCTTTTTATAAATGAGGCGTCATTAAAAAGGACACTGTCACTTTGAAAATACCTGATTTGAAAAGTACGATTTTCTGAAAAAGGAGGATTCTATTACCATGATGACCTCAGCAATAATCGCTTCCTGTCTGACTTCCTCCCTCCTAGTCGTTAGTCTCTGCTCCTCCCGACTGCTGTGTGAGGCAAATAAACTGCATCCAAAATACCTGCAGCTGTAAAACCTAAATTGTGTGTCTCCTATGTCCTTTTCTCTTCACAGTAAAAACCAGCATTTGAGTGTTGGGAGCTGTTAGGTCCTTAAGGAAAACAGTTTACCAGGTAGACCATCCATCAGGGTCACAAAAGCAGTATTGTAAACGCCTCTGGTATGGCCTGAGTGCGGAGCAATTACTGAGACAGAGGGTGAGCTGAAGGCTACGCGTCTTGTTTCTTCCCTGTCCTAATGGGGAGGCAGTCAATAGGGAATTTCAGGAAGGCGGCTTACGTGGAGTGGGGTCCGAGGCATCCCGTTTGATCATGGGTGGCTTGGGCTTCTGTTGTGGCCCCCCAGACTCCTCCTATTAGAGCAAGATGAGAGACAGCAGTAAAGGGTCCCCTGAAGTTCTGTCAAACAAACACATGAAGACCATTGTGAAAAATGCCCAGGGTTGATAGTTTCTAGCTGTCGTTGGAATCCTATCAAGTAGCCCATGCGTTAAAATACTGAGCACCCACTGAAGCAAAGCTTTTTAAACTGCAGGTTGCAGTTTCATTAGTGGATTGTAAAATCAGTTTAGAGGGTCATGAACAGCAGTTTTGAAAACAGAATAGAAAATACCAGGGTGTGTTCCAAAGGTAAGACTGATAGTGTTATTGTAATCTTTGTTTCAGTGTGAATGTCTCTCTGTGCATGTGTGTGTACTGGCTGAATGGAAAATGTGTTTCTTACTGTAGGTCAGAATTTAAACAAATAGTTTGCGAGTCATTATGGGCTCTCAAACCAGGGCAGGGCAGGGGGGGCACCCTTTAAGGAGGTATGCACTCTCAGCTACTCACCTGTACCTGCCTGACCCTGACAGCAATCACCTCCACCGGTGCCCCTTAGCGCTTTGCTCACCTCACCCTAATCCCGATCTGATGAGCATTTTGGGGACCTCAAAATTTGATCCATGAACTCTGCCGAAGTGTTTTATCAATTTGGGAAGATAGTGGTTCTCCCGAAACCCTAGTGTTGCAGCAGCCTCAGTTAAGATGGGACTGAAAACCCAGCTAGAGGACTTCTGGGAAGATGGCAGAGTAGGAGGATCCTAAGCTCCCCTTGTCCCATGGACACAACTTAGGTAACAGCCACATCAGTGCATCCAACCCAGAAAATAACCCAAATACGGGCAAAACAGACTTTCCAGTTAACTGTCAAGAGAAGGACATATTAAAAAGGTAGGAGGGGTGGAGACATGGTCAGGAACCAAACTCCTGGCGAGACTAACCACAAACAAGAGGGACACCAAATGCACTGGAGAACAGAGAACAGACCCCACACCAGGCACCCCTAGACATGGGGAACCAGCAATGGAAGATGGCTTTGAAGACCAGTGGGTCTCGAGTTTGTGGGTTTTTAATAACCAGCTGGGCTTAACTAACTCCAGGTACTTTGAAAATCAGTGGCTCAGCTCCAGGAGGGCTGAGGGGGATAGGAAATAGTCTTCACCCTTAAAGAGCTAGCATAACAAGCCTGCTGAGATATGGCATAGAAGCAGCAGTCTGAGAAGCACCTGGGGTAATCTCAGAATGGGTGCTGGAGAGACAGGGGTCTTTAGGAGACTTCTCTAAGAACAAAAGAGCCAGCCGGTGCCATCACCTCCACGCTCACCTGGACCACCTGCAGGAAACGGGGTGAACACTCTCCACCTACCTTGCTAACACCACGCACCCCGCCCCCGTGTTCTCCTGGGGACTTGCCCCATCCAAACCACCTCAGTTGGCAGGACTCCCTCCAAAGCGGATCTCACCAGGTCTCACCCTGGAAGCAGCTGTGGCAGGGACTGCTGTCTCTCCCACGTGACTCCTGCCTCGCAGAGAGAGAAGATAACCACCCACCCCAGCATACTCGGTCCCAGCCGCCAAACCTTATAAGCAGCAGGGCGGGGCGAGCGCCCTGTGGACCAGCGCGTCTGCAGCGCTGGCAAGCACCTGGCCTGAGTGCCAGCCCCGCCCACCAGCAAAAGCTTCTCAGGACGACACAGGGAGGACCCCCTGCAGCTGAGCATGGTAGCAGCCCTTGCAAGCGGGCTGAGGGCAGGCATCTGGTCTGACTGCAGACAGCACCCAACTGCCAGCCCTTGACCACCCCAGCCTGACTCTCAGCATAGGGATCAAACCCAGCCCACGACAGCCGACCGGACTAAAGGCAAATGAGACTCAGCACAGCAGCAGCGTACGGCACGCGCAGTCCACACAGAAGACTGCCACGTCAGGACACCGCTGAAGCTCCTGGACAAGGCGGACAGGGGACCACAGGCCTCTTCTTCATAAGGCTACATCAGGAGACATAACTGACTTTCCTAATAAACAAATGCAGAGTGAGACAAAATAAGGAGACGGAAGACTATGTCCCAAATGAAAGACTAGGACAAAACCACAGCCAAAGAGCTAAATATGCCTGATGAAGAATTCAAAATAATGGTCATAAAGATACTTACTGGATTTGAGAAAAGTGGAGGATCTCAGACCTTCAACAAAGATAGAAAATATGAAAAAGAACCAATCGGGATGAACTCAGTAACTGAAATTAAAAATACACTAGAAGCAATCAGTAGTAGATTAGAGGAGGCAAAGAATGGATCAGCAAGCTGGAAGACGGTCCTGGAAAGCAACCAGGCTGAACATCAAAAGGACAAAAGAAAAAATGAGAATAGGTTAATGGAACTCAGGGACATAATCAAGCATAATAACTTCGCACTATAGGGATCCCAGAAGGAGAGAGAAAAGGGGGGCAGAAAGTTGATTTTAAGAAATAATAGCTGTAGGGCGCCTGGGTGGCTCAGTCGGTTAAGCGTCTGCCTTCGGCTGAGGTCATGATCTCCAGGTCCTGGGATCGAGCCCCACATTGGGCTCCCTGCCTTCTCCCTCTACCTCTGTGATCTCTCTTGCTCTCACTCTCTCTAGTAAACAAATTAAAAACAAAAAACAAGAAAAAAGAAGAAAGAAATAATAGCTGAAAACTTCCCTAATGTGGGGAAGGAAACAGACATCCAGATCCAGGAGGCAGAGAGAGCCCCCAACAAAATCAGTCCAAGGAGGTCAACACCAAGACACATAATAATTGGCAAAAAAAAAAAAAAAAAAAATAGTGACAACGAGAATTTTTAAAGCAGCACGAGAGAACAGTTAATGTATAAGGAAAACCCCATAAGGCTGTATCAGCTGATTTTTCAGCAGAAACATTGCAGGGGCCAGAAGGGAGTGGCAGGATATATTCAGAGTGCTGAAAGGGAAAAAACAAAAACTTGCAACCAAGAATACCC